AATACTGTATATTTCAAACTTTATATATAAAGTGATATTCCTTTTTCTTTAGTTGGGTTTTGTTGTTGTTGTTGTTGTTTTGGTTTTCTAACCTGAATTAGACATTAGGGAATACCTTTTTTATTTTTTTCCCCTGGAAGCACTGGGCTGAGGAATGCTACTATTATATAAGTAATGCCTACGTGACTTGGTATTGTATGCACTAATTATTCACTTGTCATTATTCTCCCACCTTGAATTTCTTGTGGAAAAATAATCTCATTTGGAATTAGCAACAGGAACAATTTCCAGACTGGGGGCTGTCTTGTGCTAGAAGCCTGATAAACTTAGAGATTATTGGGCTTGTGTTGTCTGAGGCTTCTGGGATCTAGTTTAAGCTAAGCATGCGATAATTAAAATAGTTTCTTAGTGATGGAGAATTTACTGCATCTTTTGACAATTCATCTCAGTAGCTAATTATACTTAAAACATGCTTTTTATCTCCAGATTGAACTTGCAAATATTGGATTCTGTTGTGTCTGCCCACTAATTTAGAGCCTTATGAAATATCTTCTTCTTGTCTAGTCCCTTAAAGATTATAATCTTCTCTTTGAAGCAAAATGCACTTAGTTCAGTGTCTCACTGCAAGGAGTCTTTTTTTTCCAGAGCTAAATCGTTCTCGTTGCTCTTCTCGGCACTCTTTCCGAGCTTATTTATTTTTATTTATTTATTTTAATTAAAGGCACTGCAGTTCCCCAGAGGCTTGCCTGCTTTGTTCACAGGGATGTTATGGTTTGCTTGGCTTCGTTCGTGCGTGCATCTGCAGCTGTCCCCAGCTAAGCCAATGGTGCAGGTCCTCACGCCTGCCCTCGTGGAGGGAGCTCTTGGCACCCTTGAGCTGATGGAAAGAGCAGGCAGGTGTTACCCAGGACCCAACCTAAAGGTTTTATTGTTTAACTCCATTTAGAGGCTGCACCCAGAAGTGAAGCAGGATCTCTTCCAAATGATCGTGTCTATTCTTAGCAACAGCTAAATCTTATGATCATCATGGTAGCCCCGTGTGACGGGAGGGCCGTGTTCCAGGGCAGAGGTGACAAGGAATGCATAATGCATGTTTTGTCATGGTGGGGGGACACCTCAAGGAGGAGAAGGCACAGCTTTCTGGATATACGAAGGAAAATAATAAGGTGTAACACTCTTGCAGTTGTGCCAGCTGCTTTGCAGTCATAGGAGGGCAACAGCACTCATACCCAAAATGGGAGCAACACAAGCAATTCTGTCGTTTTCTGTCAGTCTGCTCTCTGCAAGGAATGCAAATCAAACTCTAGGATTAGATGAGCACTGATGCTGTCAAAGCAGTGCCCTGAAGGTGGGGGGTAAACAAATAGATCTAAATAAGAAACGTCGTGGACTTCTCGCAGGGAACCGCTGGAGCTGACCATCCTCACCTGATCGCTTCCGAGTCCTGCCAGCCCAGCTTCATGCAAGGGAGTGCTTTGAAATTGCTTCTTTCCTTGATTTATTTTTTACCTGCCTGACTTGCTAGACTAGTTGAAAATTTCCTTTTTTGTATCCTTCTTTTAATGAAAATGAAGGAAAACTGGGTCAGGTGTGGGGGGGTGTGTCTTCATATGGAAGGGAAAAAAAAACAAAAGGGAAGAGAAAAAAGCTTATCAGAGAGGCCTGGAAGGAAATTTTTGTTGAAAAGTTGGTAGTGATGGGAAAAAAAAGTGTGACTGTGTTCTCTCTGTTTGTGGCTAATTTCTTTCAAACAGGCTGTAACAAATATTTGTGGTATCTGAAGACATGGAAAATATACTTCCAACAATTTGTTTTATTCTAATTGCAGATGAATAATGGTTCAGAAAATCTTCATTTTCTCAGCCTTCCTTTGCCTTTCTAACAACACAGACCTAATAGGGCACTTCCAGGATCTTCCAGTAATTTTCTGTCACTCAGTTTTGTTAAAGTAAATGCATATGTGCATCTTAAGCTTTTACTTTTGTTACAGAAATGATTAAAGCATTATGTGGACTGTTTTGGGGTTTTCATTTGGTCCTTGTTTAGGCAGGTTTTTGTTCCTGATCAGAGTTTTTATTAGTGAAGGAAAGGGCACAAATATCTCTACAGATCTGCTGGGCTGTGCATGTTAGCATATGTTATGATGAAATACACAGAAGCCAAGCACTGACACTGCTCCCAAGTAAAACCAGGAGCAAAAAGCTGTACAACTATAAAACTCCTGACACTTCCATAAATTATGGCTTTTGAGTGTTGATGGGCTGACACTTTCTTACTATTTCATGTTTTATCTGATTAATCCATTAAGGTTGAATGCTGCTGAAGCCTGAATTACTGTAGGTATCATCTCAAGAATGGTCTCTGCAAAGACAGGCCTCAAACATTGCCTGATTTCTTTATTTAGATCTGGTTATTACAATTAAGTCACTCAGAAGAGAGCACACAGCAAATATCCACAGTATTCAAAAGGTACATAAAGCCTAAGTTGATTTTGGTTTTGGTGCTTTCTAATAGTTAATATAATCCTATCAAGTTGGGTGGTGAGTTTTATTTTATGGGGGGGGATAGGAAGGTGGGAAAAAACCCCTCACACCATGTTTAAAGCCACGTTAACAAAGAACTTTACTCAAGGAGGAGACGTTAATAAGTAATGAAACAAAGGCTCTTTTATAGAGATTAAATGTACATGTGTCTAAGTACAAAGTTCGTGTTGCAAAGTGCAGCTGTTTCTCTGCTCACAGCCCCAAAGCCCCGGGGTTCAAAGTCTGCCTGCTTTCCTGTCACAGAGCTGACCGGGGCAAGGTCCAGCCCAAGTTCAGAGTTCAGTGTCTAAGGGCTCGCTGGCTCTGCCGGCCGTGCTCTCTGACACGCTCGGGACAAGCAGGAGTTGGCTTAAGATTATAAGTACAAACAACATAAAACTTCCTGTCCTCTTTTCTGATGTGTCAGATTTCATTAAAGAAGGGACATTCTGGAAGGAGCCACTGGACTGTTAAAAAGTAATGCTCTGTATAAAGGAGCGACCTCACCGAACCCCGCGGAAGGAGCGGGCCAGTGAAAGGATGTGCGTGGGAAATAGCGCCCATTCGCCTTCTCCTTCCTCCTGAGGGTTACTTAAGTGAGGAAAAATGAAGTCAAAGAACTGATTATCTACATCCAAAGAGATGAAGCTGAACTCTTTAAAAAAGGAACAGAAAATTAAAAAAAGGAGGTCCGTGTGTTTCCTTTGTGTCACGATAATAGTGTTCTGCACCATGGGGGTGAAGAGAACTTAATGCGTCTGGATATCCTGCTTTCAAATCCTCTTTTTTCTCCCCCTTCAGAGGCTTTTTCGAAGCTAACTCCAACTTTCTTATTCATAAGGGCTGCAAACCCCACCTGTGCAGCTTTTTTGATTAGCTGTGGTCATATCAAAGGCTGCTGTATCCAAGCACAGACCCTGAGTGAGAATGGAGACTGATGGCTGAGAGCAAAGGCTGGTACAAACACCCTTGGAGGAATTTATATCTCAGGCAATGCTGTGGCGGTATTACAGACAGAGAAAAGTTTCCTATCTATTGCCACATCCTTTATCAAGGAAAGGATGGTAAACCATGGGTGGTAAACCAAGTCATCAGTGCTCAGTGCCCACAGCATGCTGCAGGTCTGAGCAGACTGCTGTCATCTCACTTCACTGAAAAGAACATGGATGTTCTGAAAACTTTCTCAGACATCAGAGGTCTGCCCCCTTTGTATCACAGTTTCTATATGTCTGGGTTCAATAAATCTAATTATTGAGAGCCACAATTAAAGCCAGGACCCAGGGAAGGACTGTAGTAGCCCAAAACATGAGTTTTGGACCTGAAGATTTGTGTGTTTAGAAATGATGATTTTTTTTCTTCCCTGCAACATTCATGAGTCTGTCAAACACCAGAGGAGCCTTCCTCTGATGAGTTAGTCCTGTACTTTGGTTATTATTTCAGGTCCAACCTCCCACTTCTGAGAAATGTATTTAAGAAACTAAGAGAGACCCTACAGTGAACACTCCAGACCATGGCTTGTAAGGGCTCAGATGGGTGCATGAACTACTTAGTGCTCAAAAAGGGGGGAAAAAAAAAGACAGCCAAGGTGCAAAGATCCAAAATAACGTGTTCTATTGTCTGACACCTTCCTGGCAGAATGTTGAGAAGTAGAAATAAGAGGAACTGCACCTGTGATGTTCCATTCCTGTCCTGGTCTGTGGAAACTCGAGTATTGGGCTTTTTTTCTGTTACTCTTTGCTGGCTCTGTGCAACCACCGCAGTGAACAGATAAGTCACTGAGACTAGTCTTAAGTAGTGACACTGGCAGAGCATACCAATAGTCACCTCATTTGGCCTGCACTGATGCAAATCTCTGACATAGCAGTGATGGTGAGTAACATTTTCTGCTGCTCCCACTGCTGAATTTCCATCCGGGTCTCTGGCCTCTCTTTGCTAGGCTGGCCTTGTAATCTTTGTTTCCTAAGAAACTCTGACTGGAGCCACTACCCTCCCCAGCACTTCAGGCTGCTGCAAACATACAAAAGGTGGGGAGAAGATGATAAAATTAACAGGTGTAAAATGTGTACATTGCTTATTGCACTGATAAAAGTCCTTCAGGTGGTACAGCTCTACTGGGTGGTAGCTACAGATTTGATCCTTGTTCAAAAAGATGACTCTGGTCAGGCTATTACCTACTGTGTGCAGTGGGTTTCTTTCATTCTTTTTTCTTAGCACTGACACATATTAATAATAATATATTTGGAGGGGAAGGTATAATGGGAGGAAGGGGGAGACTCCCTATAGACCCATGGTTAGTAAGGTTGCATGGGCTAGGGCAGCAGGCTGAAGTTCAGGTACATAGTCCAAATCAAGCAAAACAGGACCAGGTTTGCAAGGTAGCAACTCTTCTGGTTGTTGGCTTTGCTAAAGTAGATAGGTGACTGTATCTCCCTCTTGCCTTCCCCTCCCCCCATTTTCATGACAGCCTTTTCTGCCTGTGTCACCTGGCTTAAGTTAGAAATACAAGACTAATCAGGAAAATTAATCACAGGTCAATTCTTGTTTTCTGTTTTTAATTTCTTTTCTTTTACTCACTCTTTTTTTTTTTTTTTAAATTTAAACTTTTGTCTCTGTGTGTTTGCTATTGTCTCAAATTTATTATTTTCTTTCTCAGCAGACAGTTTGAGAATCATCCCATCTGTTGCCCACCTGAACCAAGAATCAAATCCTAGAGTAGGACTGTGCTTACTGCTTGGTTGGAGATCTACTGGGATCTTAGTATTGGGAGAGACCCAACAGGTAAGTAAAAGTTATTTTATTCAAGGTGCTGAGACCCTTACAAGAGATGAGTCCTATTGCTATGTGCCCTTCTTTGAAAAAACAATGGCCAGGAAAAGGTGTATGTATGCAAATATGGCTTATAGGTTTTTTTTTTTTAATCCTGTAACTAATATCTTTCTACTAAGGGTATGTGCCTGTGAATTCTTTTCTTCTTAGTTTACACACTCCTCAGTCCCTTTTTTGAACCCCTTCAGGTAAGGCTTAAGAAAATACAGGGAGATTTCCTTTGGCTGCAATACTGGAAAACAAACCAGAACAGTCCAAAATAGGATTGGCATAGCTGCCCTTGGGCTGGCATTTTTGTTTCTGTTTTTTTTTGGTTCGTTTTTTTGTTTGTTTGTGGTTTTTTTTGTTTTGCTCTCCTCTTCAGAATTTTCTTTTCTGCATGTCTGCAGCTAGAGTTTTACTACTTTATTCTCCCAGGGTAGTTAAGGCAAACTTTCCATCATCACATTTTTCTTCCAAATGCAGGTCGTGTTATATCAGCTAGAATGTGCTTGTATGGATACTTAAAATGCTCTCTAAAGCAAATTGACGTCTATCTTTTGGTGTCATATTTATGCAGTAAAACAGTTTGTAAACTAAAACTTCACCTAATTTTTAAAAAATTGTATTTTAAGTAAAATACAAAGGTATACTGGGTGAATGTTAAAAGCAGAAGAGATCTTTCAGTGCCTCACTACTTTATGTGTTGATAATAATGAAACTAGTACACCTTGGACTAGTGACACACATTGTTACAAAATTAGAACGAAAGAGTGAATTAGAAATGAAGTTATTTTTATGCGTCTGCATATATTTGCAATGTAAGGCCTGCCAAACTTCTTCAAAAGAGTTGTTCAAAGAGCAATGTTTTTTTCCTCCTATTCAGGTTAAATCTTTCACCGGCAAGAATCTCAGGTTTTTGCACTTCAGTCCTAGAGCATGGCCTGTGCCATGTAAAATACTGATTGAAAATATGCCTTCCTAAGAGAAAAAAAAAAATAGTAAAATCATCAAATTTGCCTACAACCTGTTAAGTATAATATATTCAAGCAAGGTAGCAAGGTTGAAGCCTTTATTATGAAAGGACATTGTTTCTTTTGGTCTTTCTGTGTGATAAGAGATTTCATATGAAAACACATGTCAAGTGGAAGGTTCTGTGTCATCTCTCTGGATCTGTGTGCTCGTTTGCCATAGCTGAGGGTAGAGATCAGTGGTTTATTTTGGAGATGCTGGTTTTAAATTCAGAATTGAGATTGTGGTAGGATCTTTTGGTTTACTGAGATCTCAATTGTCAAAAAACAAATTCAATAAACTGCCACCTGCAGTGGGAGTGATTTAAATATTTAATGATGTTGTGGCTGGAAAATGAACGAATGTAGAAGGATCTTCCAGAGTAAACATAGAAATTATATCTTGCCAGTGTTACTTTTAGCTTCTTCTTCCTTCTTCTAAGTCACTCTTGCACTCTGGGATTGATCTTTTGTTCCTGCTCTCGTTCCCCAAAGTGCTCCCTGCCTGCCTATCAGTATGGACGTGTAATTTTCATCCGTGGAGAATTTTCTAACTTTTTAGTCATAACTGAAAATTTATGTGCTCAGTTCAGCTCAATGAATTGCATGACAAATCTGTAGCACTGCAGACGCCATCGGGGAGACAGAGAGACTGGCTGTCTGTCTTGCCAAGTATCTCAGCAATCCCGGGACAGAATAAGCTTCCTAATGCGCTGCGTATGTGACAATGAGCTGTGTTGACTTTTTGATATATTCGGGTGCAAAGTTCCTGTTGGAGATTTTGTTTCCAAATGAGAATTTGCCACAGCTGGGTATCAACACTGCGCTCTCATATCTGTCGAAGAGGGACAGGGAGGGGAAAACACTAGGGCATTTCAGTGCGTTATCAGCCGTGCTGGTGAGTGGTGTGAAGATTAAAAAGGGGCAAGTGTACTCCTCACAGCCTTTAAGGCGTGTTTCTGCATGGGAAGGCTATGTTCAGTAACACAACTTAAATGTGCACTAATCAGCTTTTGCTTATTTACCTGAATTTATATACACTATTTTGATGTATTTATTTTTATTTCAAACCATTTGCTACTTTTTTGTGCGGGATACGTAACATCACCATGCTTTTGTTTTCTATGTTGACAAGCAAACTTGCTTCCTTGTAAGCAGATGAATTGTTTACTTTCCAGACAAAATAAGACCATACTCTTTGGAATTATATTATAGCATGATCTGGTCTGGATGAGAGACTGGTAGGTACACTTTACACAAACAACAGTTGTTTAAATTTATTGCTATGGCTAAAATAGCATTTCCTGAAATATAAATAAAAATCTCTGAGAATGCATGAAAGATTTGAAAATGTGTCCAAATTTTTTATTTTTATCGCATTTCGATAACTCATTTCATGTACCAGTGAAATTTTTTTGGCCTACTTGGTTTCAGGAGAAGTGGAGACAAGATAAAATAATTGGTTATCTTCAGTTATGTGTTTAGATGTATTTTTTAATTTTTCCAGGAAAGATCCTTGAATTAAACATGAGCCAATTGATTTTCCATGGATTTCATTTGAGCCACAAGTTTTAGGTCAATGAGGCCTTGATTTCTTTTTTGAAATACCGAATCAATTTATGTGAGGGACAGAGTGTAAGTTGCAATTTTAGTGTCAGTTTTATATCTTTAATATGTTTTCTGAATGGGCTCTTGTTGTCTGGAATGTTAGTGGTGCAGAGCTTGCTTACTTTGTTGTGCACATAGTGAAATGAAGCTGAGGAGGAGGAGGACACACCCATGGAAGAGAGGAAAAAACCTGGAATGGCAACTTATCATAGAATTATAGAAAGGCTTGGGCTGGAAGGGACTTTAAAGATCATCCAGTTCCAACCTCCCTGCCATTATGAAATTGGCCACCCATCTTTCTTGTAATATAATGATGCTGGCAAAAAGACTTTAAATCTTACAGTTCTTCATGTCTCTATGGAATTCTTGTCTCTGTTGTTAGATTTTACTTTTCTGTGTTTATATCTCCTTTTTTCCCTACTTTGCCATTGATTTTGTGGTAAGGAACTAATGTAAGACAATGGTTTTGAAAAACACATCCTGTATTTCTAAAGCATCAGCTCAGTGAATCTTCCTTTGAGCTGCAAATCCATTCAATACTCAGGATTTCAGCCAGGGCCGCAGGGCAAAACTCTTCTGTTGCACAAAAAAACTCCAAAAAACAAAAAGCCAAGGGACTTTAAATGATCAAGCAGAGATGATAGGACCTTGGCATATGAAAAACTATGATGCAGTAAATCAAAGCAGGCTGTCTTGAGTTGAGTAATATTTCTATGCTAATAAATTAGTGTCATAAGTGATTTGTCAATAAGATATAGAATATGCTACAAAGGAAGTCAGACAATATTTTTCTTTCACATAGAAAAAATGGGGTGAGGTCATAGCAAAATCCTCAACATGATTTTTTTTAAAGATGTAGGTGGTCTTATCCACTGTACAATATTTGTATATTTAAATTCTTATATGCCTAAGATATCCTTATATAGCTTGGAGGAGTTTAATGAGAACTTCTATGGTAAGGAGCTGCAGTGCCATAGCGGAGAACACTCCAGTCTAGGGATGAGCAGAACTTCTGAAGCAGTTGCTCCAAAATCTTGCTTGGCCCAAGCTGTACGTGTGGATAGGGCAAAGTTCATGGCCCATTCCACCTTTCTTCTCAGAGGTGAACCTCATAGCTGCCACTTTCAACAAGAACTGCATGCCCAGGAAGTAGCGACAGTAACATCTGTCCATCTCTATTCCCTCATACACATGCCAAACCATGCCCTTCTATGGCACAAACTCTCCAAAGCCTCTTGCTAATGCAAGATCTCTAGGTTCACAGCCATGCACAAAACAGATGTGCTGTCTAAAGGGATGTTAAGCATCAGTCCTGAGGAACCATGGCAGGAAGGAATTTGAGCTTGGGCTTATGACTGTGCTGGGACCAGTACTGTTTATTATCTTCACCATGACAGAGACAGTGGGATTAAGTGCACCCTCAGCAAATTTGCAGACAGAGCCAAGCTGTGTGGTGCTGTTGACGTGCCTGAAGGAAGAGATGGCATCCAGAGGGACCTGGACAAAAACCAGAACTGAGCCCATTTGAACTTCATGAGATTCAACAAGATCAAGTGCAGGGTTGCTGTTACCAATCCAGGCTGGGGGATGAACAGATCCAGAGCAGCCCTGCTGAGAAGCACTCAGGGGTGCTGGTGGGTGAGAGGCTGGACATGACCCAGCACTGGGAGCCCAGAAATCCCACCATATCCTGGGCTGCATCCAAAGCAGTGTGGGCAGCAGGGGAGGGAGGGGATTCTGCCCCTCTGCTCTGCTCTGGTGAGACCCCACCTGCAGTGCTGCTTCCAGCTCTGGGGTCCCAGCACAGGCAGGACATGGACCTGTTGGAGTGAGTCCAGAGGAGGGTCCTGAACATGGTCAGAGGGCTGGAGCACCCCTCCTGTGAAGACAGACTGAGAGAGTTGGGGTTGCTCAGCCTGGATAAGAGAAGGGTCTGGGGAGACCTTACAGTGGTCTTTCAGTACTTGAAGGGAACCTATAAGAAAGATGGAGACAACTTCTTATCAGGGCTGTTGCAACAGGACAAGATGCAATGGTTTTAAAATAAAAGAGGGTAGATTCAGACTAGATATAAGAAAGAAATTTTTTAGATTGAGGGTGGCAAAACACTGTCATAGATTGCCCGGAGATGTGCTGGATGCCCCATCCCTGGAAACATGCAGGTTCATGTTGGGTGGGGTTCTGAGCAACTGGTGTGGTGCACTGCATGGGGGTTGGACTAGGTGACCTTTGAAAGTCCCTTCCAACCCAAACCATTCTACTTATCTTTTGATCTGATTTTTCACACCGGGCCCTATTGCATACAACCTTCCTCCACTGCTCCTTCATGCACACAAAATTGCAGGTGGAAGTCCAGTCTGACCATTTGGCACCACCCTCTGCAGTGGTACTAAGAAAAAGCCTTAGGAGGGTCAAAGAATTGTTAAAACTCTAAAGATCCATACCAGTGCAACTTTGCTCTGTTTGTTTTAATTCATTCCTGCCTTTAACAGATTTGGAAGTTCCATATTAGTACAAAATTTAGAAGTGTTATGTGGATGTCATGCCTCTGGAACTTTCTGGTTCAGCAGCAGAAGAAATGGAAGCCTTCTATTAATCTACCTAACAAGTATGATACTGAAAAAGGAGGTTCCATCTTTCTCAACATCCACAGAGTTTGGAAGGGTAGAAGGCTGGTTTGTTTGCTTTATTTTTTAAGGGCAAATTTACTAATCTATGACAAGACCTTCTTTTGTAGTGGTAAATCAGGTTCCCTGCAGTTTGGACCTGTTAACCAGAGTACATCAGCCAGTGGCTCAGAAGCAGGTCTCTGAGGGAGAACTCCAGCACATCCTTTCACACCTCATAATATATATTTTCAGAACAACCCCTACATTGTGCCCTGTGATTGCAGTTTCTTTCTGTGGGTTTCTGATTTCAGGTCATGATTCCTGGGCAGATGCTTATTCCTATCTCTGGCTGCTGACCCTTGGTTTGACTTTCTGGTTCCTGAATTTTGGCCATAAGCATTCGGCTCCTTTCCCAGCTCTGGACACAGGCCCTAACCTTTGGGCTGAATAGCCTGGGCTCCAGTCTGTAATCCTAGATGGGTACCAGGTCATCCGTAGTAGACTGTACTCTAATTTATTCAATAACAAATGAAGTCTAACAGATAAGTTTGGGTGGTTTGGGGGATTTTTTTTTTGTTTGGTTTGGTGTTTTTTTGTTTGTTTGTTTTTTTTTTGTTTGTTTGTTTTTTGTTTGTTTTTTTTTGTTTGTTTTGGTTTTTTTTTTTTGGTTGGGTTTTTTGTTGTTGTTTTTTTTAATTTATGACAATTGTAGCTATTTATTTGTAAACTGGTCTTTTATCTGTATTCTGCTGGATTGCTAAATGTGAACTTCTACTTTCCATGAGTTATCATATTGTTCTAATGGCCATCTTTTCTTTGGGGAGAATATCATCATATCTCAGCCAGTGGAGCAGGTGAACAGAACTGTTAGCATTTATAAACATTTCAAATTGGTGGCTATAAGTTGAATAAATTACATTGGAAAAGGCAGTAGTGTCAGAACTTCCATTTTATTTCTATATGAAATGTTATAAATGTGTGCTATGGCCTACTTTTTCATATGGGAGTTCATGTCATTCCCACACACATGGCATAAGAGTATAAACAGACACTCAAACATGGTCAGACCTGTAAGACTATCATGACTGAAACTTGATGAAAATATGAGTTATTAAGTTCACAAAGTATGAAGATAAATTTCCAGAAAGAGGAAGAACTGAAACGTATAATGTGTGTTAAGTGTTTAGGTGGAAGAAGGGTCAGATTGCTTTGGCAGGAGAATAAATGGAGAAGGAGTAGAAAGCTGAGTTGTAAAATTAACTTAATCAGTTACAAGTAATATGGAATAGGCAATAATGTGAAGCAGAGTGGTAAGAAAACTGCTTTTAAATATCCTATGTATGTTGCATTGTTCATACACAAAGATGGTATAGCATAGATATTTATATACGCATGCTCAACAGAAAATAAAAGTCACAAGAGCTGGGTGAATTTTATTTAATTTTGCCCATCAGAATTTCAGGAATTAAAAGTTCCATGTTGATGCAATGTTTTTGCTTGGTAATATTTTGATGGTGTTAGGTATCCATAATCAAAGTAATAAATGATCCATCTGTCCTGTTTCTGTGTCAAAACATGTGACAGTTGTCAATCTAGGAAAAGCAAGTTTGTTGCTTTGCTGTAACTTAAAGTCCGTTGTTCATGACTGTTTCATAGAAATGGGAAGCTTGCTTAATTTTAGAGCTTCAATCAATATGAATAATGCTTAGATAAACTTTTTTATTAAATTATACAAACTTCCTTGCTAAACCTATCTCCTTATGCCATTTGACAAGAGGAACCATCCTTTACTAGAGTAGTTTTCCTCTAAATACTTTTTTTCCCTCTGAAGCAGGCTAGCTCAAATAAGGGACAGCAAGATGTTTGTGGAATGTAGCTAAGAGCAAACTGAGACTCTGCTTTGTATAATTGAAGAGGATGATGGAAGCAGCAAGTTTAGTGTATTGGTCTGGAGTGTTTTCTTCCAAATTGGTCATATGTATTAATAAGATTTTACATACTTTTGTTAAACTATCAGTTCAGAGAAGGAAATCTGGTGAAATAAAACAAATGCCTTCTTCAATTTGTTGTCCATTTAAAATTTGTTAGTATAAAAAGCTACAGCAGAACAGCAGGGCATAGCTTTTGTCTAAACTGAGAATTTTTACTTAGTGTAAAGCTCTTGAATGGAACTGCCCATGAATTCATGTGACATTCACCATGTGTAATGACATCTTTTTTTTCCCCCCTCCAAATGAATTAAAAATGGAAAGTACTTCCAGTACCTCTTGGTAGGTACTAAGAAGTCAGATCCCTTGGTACCACAGAGGTCCTTTCTTCATTACAGGCAGGTAGTTTCCATTATTCATGCTGGGTAGCATTTCATTTAAAGTCCCACCATTACTTAAAAAGCAAGATATTAATGAGAGATGTTACTGGAGTGCTGTCTTTTAATTTGATATTGTTCGATCCAGCTGTTTTAAAATTTCTAAGAATAAAGCTTCCATTACCTTACATTAGAGAAGATTTTTATAGGGAAGAACATCTAATTCTTGTCTAGTTTCCCTTGATAGCCAATTGCCTTTCCTGAATCTTCACCATTTACTTCTAGGTTAATTCTTTGGCTTTGCTTTAAATAATTTCTCTGATTCCTTGATATCCATACATTGCAGTTAGTTATATATAGATATTTTTCATACCACCCCCATCCACTTAGCTGGTGAGTAGCCAAGTAATACATACTTAGCACTTTTAATTTTACCTCATAAATCAATCATCGTAGCGGCAAAATCAGTTACATTTTTTCTTAAGCCATCATTCAATACAAAGAGTCCATTATGCACGTCTGTGAATAATATATTAATTGTGTGGTTTAAAATCATAAACAACGTTACACAATTAACTACATAAAATTGCTCACTTTGAAAAGTGAATAACTACTATTTCCATAATAGTAGCTAAAAGACGACAGCATTAAGCTGGGCATTGTCACTCTGAATTGCCATTGGTAAAGCAGAGGCCTCTTAAATGTGCAATTATGATGGAGAGAAAGCATATTCCTTGCTACAGATTTATTGCCTTAAGTATTTTTCCAAAGGTTTTCACCTTGTTTTGTATTGCTGTGCACTAATGGTGTGAGACAAGATTACTTTGGTGAATGGCTTTATTAACATAAAGAAATACTACTAAAGATTTTTTTTGAAACTGGATTTAAATATCTTTTTCACTGTGCTGTATTCTCTATCAGGTTGTTAAAAAAAAAAAAGGTAAAAGTAATTTCTTTACTGATTTGGCTCTTTTGCTCTTGGCAAATATTTCTTTTTCTCTTGGGATGGAGATAGAGATGGAATGAACAGCAGGATCCACAGGAAAAGAAAACACAATCCAACCCCAAAAGTAAGCATGTTTATATATTGATAATTATTTGGTCCAAGACTAAACTGGGATTGAGATTCCATAGGCTAGACAGAGTGCTCATGTCTCCAGTGAAGGTATTCCTGCTGTATTCCAGCACGGTTAGATAAGGCAGAGAAAGAGTTGAAAAATCATTACCATTCTTTCAGATTTGGTAAACTGAGGTGGGAACAGAGAAGCAGCAATCTGTCCAGTATGACAGAATTCGGCAGGAGAATCGGGAGTGTAAGCTCTTGCCTCCCCGTTGAAATGATCTACAAGAATGTATTTATTCCATAATCTGTTCTTATGCTCTTATCTATTTAATCTTCCCCTCATACCAATTTTTATAAGTATGTCTCCACAGAGAACTCCGGCGTAAGAAATGTTTCTGCAGATGAACCCTGAGGTTTTATGGTAACGCTGTATAATCATTACACGGGAGGTTCTCGGCGCTAAAATGGTGCAAATTATCATTAGGAGTGAATCATTTCAGCCCAGGGAAGGAAGGTTTGCTATCTGCCCACTGCCTCCTTGCCATCGCTCGCCGTCCGCGGCATTACATAATGTCACATATGTTCGGCCAGATTGCCCGGTCCTGCTGGGGGCAGGGGGGGCACCGCAAACGGCGCCCCCTCACCCTCCTTCTGCCGTCATGGGGAGGAAAATCCCGCTTGGGATTTGCCTACTGGGGGCTTTTGGGGCGTGGGAGACTTGGCTTCCCTGGCGTGTGCTCCTGCGAGGAGCAGGGGAGGGAGGAGATGCTGGCGGCCGCCACCCACCTTCCCCTTCCCACGGCTGGGCTCCCACCGCCCCCCGGAGCAAGGTGGGGCTGAGGGGCTGTGATCCCCTTTTCCCCAGAGCTGCTGCCAAGGAAAGGCTGCACGCCAGCTCCCTTCTTAACTTGTCTCGTGCCTCTCCCGTCCATTTTCCGCTGTTATTCCCCTCCGACTAACAGGGATGAGTTAGCGCTGCTCTCCTGTCACCTGGATATTCACAGACAAGGGCTGCGTGTCTCACAGCCATTCTTAATCTTTGCTTCGTAAAAAGTATGGGCCATTCACAAGTTAGACTCGATAATTCATGCAGGTCTCTTCCAACTCAGAAGATTCTGTGAAATAGCTGTGAAACAGTAAACCAGGGGGAAGTTATCCCATGGCTTGTAACTGTGCTACAGAAATACACTCAAATAAAAGCCCAGGCATGGAACCGATGCATTTGGCACCCTACTACTGAAAGTAAAACACAACCACTAGCTCTTTAGTGTGCTGTACTAGCTATTTCACAGGTTATTTCTTTAAATTGAAGATCCCACCACTGCTTAGTTGTACTGTGTGCGAAACTCCAGATCTGCTACAGTTCCAGATTTATAAAACAGCATTATAGAGAATATAGGCCTATTAATTTTACAGTCTAATTTCTGATTAGATTTTACAGCACCTCTGATGAACTGCATAGATTTCACCCATTAAAAATGATGACAATTCAGTTCTGTCATTTTAAGTAGAATTAAAGCCAGTATTGCCAAGTATGATAATATCTTATGAAAAAAGTGAACCAACATTTATATATACATATATATATTTCTAAAAAAAAAAAAATTGAAATAACCCAGCATCATGTTATTTCTCTATAGGAAGATTGCACTTGCCAAGACAGTGGGACTATTACCTGTTTGTGCAGTCAAGAGCCTATGGGTCTGACAGCTGACATCAAAAGAAATTCTCCATTCAGGCTGAGCAGGTTAAGTAATGTTTCCTAGCACAGCTGTGTAATGTGTCTGGTGGTAATTAAAAGAGTCTGCTAGAGCTTATTAAGGAAAAGTGTGAAGTGAACTGTTTTCTATCAGAAAATAGTTTTGTTAAAAAATAAGATCTCTACAAGGTCTATGCATTGCTTTAGAAGAAACTAAGAAAAGGGTGGGGTTTTTTGGGATTTTTTTTAAGAGGAAGGAAAAAGAAATCCAACACTGAAACAGTCTGTTCTTGACTTTTTTTAGATGCAAACTTAAATAAACACCCCCAAACCCAAAAATGGAAACGTTGTAATATGAAAACAAAATTTCCATTTTCTTTATTGTCGGTTTTAAATTTGGGGAAGGGGCTTATTCTGATTTGAAACAAAGCCAGATTCTGAAAGCAGACGTGAAATGACATTCACACTGCTGAGATGACT